TAGATAGATAGAGATAGATAGATAGATAGATAGATAGATAGATAGATAGATAGATAGATAGATAGATAGATAGATATAGACAGACAGATAGAGACATACATACAGACAGACAGAAATAGCTATAGATATATAGTTAAATAGATATATAGATATATAGACATTTAACATTCAGATTTACAGCAGTCTTTGTCATCAGCCAGAAAGAAGAAGAAAAACACAAGATAGTCAGGAATACAGGAACATCATGAGGTAAATTAAACAGTATACAGGACACATACAAAAAAAGGGAGGGAGAAAAAGGGAAACTCCGCCTTTATACTTACGGCAACCAATCATAGTGTAGATTGCCTCACGCATGAGTCAGTGCTCTCTAACTAATCCACTCCAACTGTGTATTTTGGCCTACTGTACACTTTACTGTTCCTAAAGCGACTAAATTCAATATCCTAACGGAAAATGAACCTGTCCTGAACGAATAATGGAAGAGGTGCCCTTAAAAAAATAATGTTGCTGTATATCCAGCACAAAGAATTCAAGGACCTATAATAAAATAGTCTCAGGAGTCTCTTTGGTTTGAGGTTAAAAATAAAAACATTGTCTCCCACCCACCCCCATTATTAAGGCAGATATAGGAAAACATTTGCAGAGAAAAAATAGTGAGCAGGAGCCCAGAAATGTCCAGTTCAGGGTTCCTTTGCACACAGAAAGTCTTTGGTGTCTTCTCAAGATTCCTCATTCATTTCTCTGCATGTGTCTCTTCCTGCACACTGATAATTCCTTTCTTTTCAACATGCGGGTTGATGAAAAAGGACAATTGTAGAGGACATCACTGTCCTGTCCAGCTTTATTAGTTTCCCAAGTGTGTCCAGTTAGTGAATGTGTAACATTTGGGTTAGACAGATCTAAACCAAGGGTCTTGTGTTCTTAATGGGAGCTCTATATTCACAGTATTGTAGATTTCCAGAACTCTAGGTAAGGTATGTATTTATCACAGATAGAATGCTCCATCTCCTTTTCTAAAGGATTTTTATAGTAGATCCTCAGACTCCAGCATGTTGCCTCAAGGCAACTGTGTGTGTGTGTGTGTGTGTGTGTGTGTGTGTGTGTGTGTATACATGTCCGTTGGTTCACCATGCATTCTGACTTTCCTAATTTTAACTTTCTTTAAGCTCTCTTCAATTGAAAATCTGAACGAGATACTAAATTGATAGAAAGCAAAGCACCAGCTTCAAGCATAATCCAGGTTTCCAACAAGGCTTTGAACCCCAACTAAATTCTAAAGCGATTAATACAATGGACACTAGTCCCAAGTTGTTTTAGCCTTTTGATATAGGTGATATTTTTGTGACTGGCAACTGATGTTTGTCCATGGCGTGTTCTCCAAAATATAAAAAAGAAAAGAAAAAGGACTACTAGNGGGTTCCAGCTTCGGGCCTTAACCACTACACTGAACATCCTTTCCTGGGTTTTGCGTGGGGGTGGGGGCGCGACCTCAAGGCCCCGGTGCTGACAAGAGTTCAGACAAGCATGGCTGCCCTCCCAGGGAGGCCCTCTGCCCCATCCCCAGGAAAGGCGGGATCGGTGCCCTTTGCTGCCTGGCATAGATGCGCGCGGCGGCCTTCTGCCCCCAAGCGCTGCTGCGTTCGTGCAAGAAGCTGTGGGAAAAGGGAAACGAGAACCGCGGGGCTGTGCAACCCCCCCCCCGCCGCCCCCGCCACGCACCGCAGTTTCCTCTGCCGATTCTCAGCCTTCCTCCCTCCCCGCGCACAGCGCCTACTTTCGCACCGGGTCTGGGAGGTCCGCGGGGTCCAGAAAAAACGGTTCTGGGGGGAGGCCGGGAGGTTTCCGCGTGGACCCTCCTTCCAGGTGAAGTAGCGGCGGGGAGGGCGCGGGAGGCGGCGGGTCTGGGACCGGGTAACTCGAGGCCGCCCGAGGATGACGCCGCCCGCCCGGAGGCGACCGATGCAGTTTCGTCCTCGCAGGGCCCCGACGCCCCTCCCTCACTCCCAGGGCTGCTAGATGGCTAAAGAGAGCGTCCACGGCCTGCAGCAGTCTACCCGCCAGTGGAGGCGGCCCTGCCTCGTCCCGCTTGAAACGCCCTGTGGCCCTGCGAGACGAGCCCGTCTGCCAGCAGGAAGCCCTGGGCTGGGGGAACACCACTAACCCTAATCCTCGCCCGTTCCTGTGGGGCGCAGCGAAGGGAGACGCAGGAGCCTCCCCTGGCCGCCAGTGGAAGCTTCTAAGCACCACGAGGTTCGGGGACGCTCCCCGCAAAGCCCACCCGAGACGGGCCGGGTCCCAAGCAGGTCAGAAGCGGGAGAACCACGGGCACGTTCTGGCCGTCGGGGCTCAGAACGAGTCCCCGGGAGGAAGTCTTTAGCCGAAGCCTCCACACCAGCGGCCTCTCTCCCTCCTTGGCCTGGCGTGGAAGGACCGAAGCGCCTCTTCGGAGCTTCTTCGAGAAACAGCGCTGCTTCCTCCCCCGCCAGGTCCCTTCCGCTGGGAACATGTCCGTCGAAAGGACCTCTCTTCGTCCCGCCAAAACGACCACGGACGTCGGGACACGGGGGGTGGGAAGCAGGAGGACAGGGAGCGCACCACGGATTGCATCCCCTTATTTAGCGAAGTATTTACTTATTGAAGAGTACAGCTGAGGCGAGTGCGTGCGTGTGTGTGTGTGTGTGGATTCTGGCCCTGCANAGCAGTATGCATGATGTGTAATTTTTAAAAATTGTATTTTTATTTTTTATTTTATATGCCCCTTTGTCTTGTCTGTAAGCCGCCCAGAGTCCCTAGGGAGTGGGCGGCATACAAATGTCAATAAACCTAAACCTAAATAAGGAGCGATAAAACGGCAGATGGAAGCCTTTCTTTGCCACCAAAGAAAACCAGGCCTGGGCGTTGGACTAAAGAAAAGGAAAATATGCTCAACAGGGAAGAAATTCTCCCAGAGGTTCACCCATCTGTTTCTGTCTAGTTTATTAAGGAGCCAAAGAATGATGTGCAAGATTGCAGAGTGGACTCTCTGTTTACATGGCCTCTGTTTCCCCAGGGCTCCTCTAGGCTTTGCCAAGAGAAACTAGGTAATTTCAGGCACAATATTCTCCTTCGAGCTCTTCAGTTGCTTCCTTTCCCCCCAGTTCTCATCTTTTAAATTCTGATTATCCGATGGTGAAAAAAAAAGACATTGGAGGGATTTTTACAAAATATCTTACATTCCTAGCAGTACAATAGAAATAGAAACATCTACAGCCAAAATATGCAAAACTTGTTCTAAAGGAAGAAGGTGAGTAACACCAGGTACGTAAAGGCAACTCATAAGGATGCGGTCAGGAGGGTCTCTGTAGACATTGTAGGAGGAGATCCGTGTTAGTGGCAAAAACCTATAAGCAATCTCTTCCAATTAATGAATTAAAAGGCATTAGCTTTGATTTATGGCACTCAATAACATAAATGCTCTTGAAAGTTGCTGCAGGACAGCTAAATTTCAGTGAGGCCATCCGTGAAGGATATTGTTCAGAATTTCGACGGTATTTGGAAGGGAGAAGAGGGGCGGTTTTCTTCTCGGCTCTCA